AGAAAAGAAAGAGAGAAAAGTGGGATTTAAGAAAAGAAACACAGTTTTGTCAAGCAATTAAAGGAGTTAGCAAAAAGGGAGGTAAGAAAGCGAGGAAAAAATCGAAATGGATGAGGAATTGATGCAAAATAGGACAAAAAATAAAAAAGAAAGATATTGCAAAAGTGAGCGAGCGGATAAACGGTTAGCAACCACAGCTTGTCTTACCGGGAACTAGGTCTGCCGAGAAGCCGGCCAAGCAGGCGCCCTCCTCCTGACTCGAGCAGGCATCAACTGAGGTGTAGTCGATTGAGGCGCCAGTGTAGAGGGCACAGGTACCGGTGCCCAAGTGGTGTGGTCTGCGAGGTCCCGTGGTAGGGCCGCCTGCCCTGTTTGTGGACGACTCGTTGACAGGCAATGGCTTGTAGAGGAAACGGGGGTCGCAGCCCAGTTGGATGCCATCGTGACCATTGTTGGCGGCCGAGACTGTACCGCCGAGCCAGAGGGAAGCTGGAGGCGGAAGAGAGGAGTTGGAGAACAGACACAAATTAGCAGCAATCACGTAAGGAAGACATTGCGAAAAATTCATCTTAGACAGATTTAGGGAGCAGTAGACATGATGTTTTGCTGACAAAACTCGATTATATATGTACAGATGAAACATATACAAAGACTCCAGAGTGTGAACAGTGATAGAATAACGAAAATAGTCATCACAATAATGCGAAAATGTAGAAACAATGTCATTTTTCGATCTTGTTTTCGTAACTCGGTCATATTGGTAGGAAGACTTAGAGAAACGTACCTAGTCCGGAATCCATTGTATGCATCATCATTTCCAGAGTAGGACCGTGGACATGGTACATTCCAAGACGTTTCGACGGCATCTTCAGTGAGTCTCGCCAATCGTAGCACCATAATACAACTCGTCAAAGAGACAAGTACCAAACGTGTGCTAAACAGTTGTGGTATCTCCCCTTTATCACACGCTTGGTAAAAGGATGGGCTTCATTTGTCTCTTTGACGAGTTATAATTTGGTGCTACGAATGGCGAGACTCACTGACGATGCTGGCGTAACGTCTGGGAAAGTACCAAGTCCACGATCCTACTTTGCAAATAATCATGCATACGATGGACTCCGGACTAGGTACGTTCTTCTGAGTACAAGTTGCAAAAACAAGGTCAAACAACTTCTTTACAACGAAAGGAGACTGCAACCACACAAAAGGCCACACCATCTTGGTCTTCATACCTTCAATGTCACTTTTCATGCAAAATCTGACACACGGCATAAGTGCACTTTTTATTTCGTCTCTTGGTTAAGTTTTAGTAAATTTGTCTTTTCATATCATAAGAAACTACCAATAGCTCTGAGATAAGGGCTGTATTCACCCCATTATGTTTAAGGTGATGAAGAACTGGTAATTGAATTTTCCCAC